GAGAGAATTAAAAAATCATTCGTCTCTTATAATATAAAACTTGTTTGTAAAATTTTCTCTCATTTTTAATTAAACTTTACACGAGATGTATATACGTGGGTAGTCAGGCTTGACCTGGACACTGAGGAGAGTCACGTATATACGTGGGTAGTCAGGCTTGACCTGGACACTGAGGAGAGTCACGTATATATGTGGGTAGTCAGGCTTGACCTGGACACTGAGGGGGAGTCAGTATATTTGTGGGGGAGTCAGGCTTGACCTTTCACTGGGAGAGTCAAAGTATATTTTGTGGGTAGTCGGGTTGACCTGGACACTGAGGAGAGTCCCGTTATTTCGTGGGTAGTCAGGGGGTTGACCTGGACACTGGGGGAGTCACGTATAAAACGTGGGTAGTCAGGGTTGACCTGGGCCTGAGGGGAGTCACGTATATCCTGGGGTAGTCAGGCTTGGACCTGGCACTGAAAGGGGAGTCACGTATATACGTGGGGGAGTCAGGCTTGACCTGGACACTGAGGGGAGTTTAGTATATAAAGTGGGTAGTCAGGCTTTAACCCGGGGCACTGAGGAGAGTAAAGTTTTATACGTGGGTGTCAGGCTTGACCTGGACACTGAGGAGGTCACGTAAATACGTGGGTAAATCAGGCTTGACCGGGGGGGGGGGGGGGGGGGGGGGCCCTGAGGAGAGTACGTATATAAAAGTGGGTATAGGCTTACCTGGGGCCCTGAGGAGAGGGCCCAAAAAGTATATTTCTGGGTAGGCAGGGGTTTTACCTGGGGCACTGAGGGAGCAAAGTTTTATGTTGGGGGTAGGCTTGACCTGGACACTGAGGAGAGTCACAAAATATGGGGGTAGGGCAGGATTGACCTGGGGCACTGAGGGGAGTCCGGGATTACGGGGGGAATCCAAACCCTTTACCTGGACCCGAGGAGAGTCACGTATATACGTGGGTAGTCCCGGCTTGACCCGGACCCTGAGGGAGTCACGTATATACGTGGGGAGTCAGGCCTTTACCTGGACCGAGGAGAGGGCCCCTATAAATGTGGGTTTGGCAGGCTTGACCGGAAATGAGGAAAAGTCACGTTTTAAGATGTGGTTGTCGGCTTGACCCCGGACACTGAGGAGGGGGTCACGTATATTTCGGAGGGGATCAGGTTGGGCCTGGGCCCTGGGGGGAGTCACGTATATACGTGGGTATCAGGCTTGACCCGGACCCCCGAGGAGAGTCACGGGATTACGGTGGGTAGTCAGGGCTTGACCTGGACACTGAGGAGAGTCCCCGAAAATTTTGTTTTGGGAAAATCAGGGTTTACCTGGACCCGAGGAGAGTCACGTTATTACGTGGGGATTTAGGGGTTGACCTGGACACTGAGGCAGTCCCCGTAATAAAGGGGGGGTGGGCAGGCTTGACCTGGACACTGGGGGAGAGTCCCCGTAAAATACGTGGGTTTTTTGTCAGGCTTGACCCGGACACTGGGAGAGTCACGTAAAAAAGGGAAGTCAGGGGTTGACCTGGACACTGAGGAGAGTCACGTATAATTTGGGGAGTCAGGGTTGGGGCCTGGGGCACTTTAGGAGAGTCACGTATAACGTGGGGAGTTTTAGGCTTGACCCGGACACTGGGGGAAAAGTCACGTTTATAGTGGGTAGTCAGGCTTGCCCCACACTGAAGGGGAGAAATAAATAAAGTGGGTATTTAGGTTGACCTGGACACTGGGGGAGGAATCACGTATATACGTGGGTAGTTTAGGGGTTGACCTGGACCTGAGGAGAGTTTACGTATAACGGGGTAGTCAGGTTGACCCGGACACTGAGGAGAGTCAGGTATATATGTGGGTAGTCAGGCTTGACCTGGACACTGAGGAGAGTCACGTATATACGTGGGTAGTCAGGCTTGACCTGGACCCTGAGGAGAGTCACGTATATACGTGGGTAGTCAGGCTTGACCTGGACCTGAGGGTAGGTAGTTATATAATGTGGGTGTCAGGCTTGACCGTGGACACTGAGGAGAGTCACGTATTATGTGGGTAGTCAGCTTGACTGGACCCTGAGGAGAGTCACGTTATACGTGGGTGTCAGCTTGTCCTGGGACCCTGAGGGAGGTCACGTATTACGTGGGTAGGTCCGGCTGCCGCGCACGAGGGAGTCACGATATAGGGGGGTAGTCAGGGGGGCTTTGACCCCTGGACACTGAGGAGGGCACATATTAGGGGTGTCAGGCTTGGACCTGGCCCTGAGGAGGGAGTCACGTATATATGTGGCGTGTCGGCTTGACCTGGACCCTGAGGAAGTACGTATATACGTGGGTAGTAGGCTTGACCTGGAAATGAGGAGAGTCCGTTATATTGGGGTAGTTAGGCTTGACCTGGACACTGAGGAGCGTCACGTATTCGTGGGTAGTCAGGCTTTACCTGGACCCTGAGGAGAGTCACGTATATATGTGGGAGTCAGGCTTTCCTGGACCTGAGGAGGGGGTCACGTATATACGTGGGTAGTAGGGTTGACCTGGACCCGAGGAGAGTCACGTTTATTTTGGGTAGTCGGGTTGACCTGGCCCTGAGGGAGTCACTATATACGTGGGTAGTCAGGCTTACCTGGACACTGAGGAGAGTCACGTATTCGGGGTGTCAGGCTTGACCTGGACACTGAGGAGGTCACGTATATATGTGGGTAGTCAGGTTGACCCGGACTGGGGAGGTCCCCTATATTGTGGGTAGTCAGGCTTGACCTGGAATTTAGGAGGTCAGTTATATGTGGGGAGTCAGGCTTGACCTGGACACTGAGGAGAGTACGTTATTTGGGTGGGTTTTACCTGGACAAAAGAGGAGAGTCACGTATATAGTGGGGTATCAGGCTTGACTGGACCTGAGGAGAGTCACGTATATCGTGGGTAGTCGTTTTCTGGACATGGGAGAGTCAGATATTTGTGGGTAGCCCCGGCTTGACCTAGACACTGAGGAGATCACGATTATGTGGTAGTCAGGTTGACCTGGACATGAGGAGAGTCACGTATTATGTGGGTAGGTTGACCTGGACATGAGGAGAGTCCCGTATTTGTGGGAGTCAGGCTTGCCGGACATGGGAGAGTCACGTATATATGTGGGAGGTTGACCTGGAACTGGGAGGTCAGTTATACGGGGTTTTTCAGGCTTGACCTGGACCTGAGGGGGAGTCACGTTATACGTGGGTAGTCGGGTTGACCTGGGCTGAGGGCGGGCACGATATACTGGGGAGTCAGGGTTGACCTGGCCCTGGGGGGGGTCAGTTATTCGTGGGGAGTCAGGGGTTTACCCCGGACCGAGGAGAGTACGTTTAGTGGGTGTCAGCTTGACCTGGCATGAGGAGAGTCAGTATATATGTGGGTGTCGGCTTGACGGACATGAGGGAGTCAATATAATGTGGGTAGTAGGCTTGCCTGGGCCCTGGGGAGAGTCAGTTATAGTGGGTAGTCGGCTTGACCGGACATGAGGAGATTCACTAATACGTGGGGGTGTCAGGCTTGCCCGGCACTGGGGAGTCCGTATATACGTGGGTAGTCAAGGGTTGCCTGGACCTGAGGAGAGTCAGTATATTAAAAGGGTAGTCGGCTTGACCTGGACACTGAGGAGAGTCAGATATACGTGGGTTTTAAAATCAGGCTTACCTGGCACTGTGGAGGTAAGTATATAGTGGGTAGTCGGCTTTACCCGGACATGGGAGGTCACGTATATACGGGGTAGTCAGGTTTACCTGGACACTGAGGAGAGTCACGTATATACGTGGGTAGTCAGGCTTGACCTGGACACTGAGGAGAGTCACGTATATACGTGGGTAGTCAGGCTTGACCTGGACACTGAGGAGAGTCACGTATATACGTGGGTAGTCAGGCTTGACCTGGACACTGAGGAGAGTCACGTATATACATGGGTAGTCAGGCTTGACCTGGACACTGAGGAGAGTCACGTATATTCATAACTATTATGTTAATAATTAGTATTAGTCTGCCTGAAATACCTAGGCCTGCTAGTGGCCTTCTTTATAGTTCTTATTTTATAATATGTAAACCAAAAATTGTGATTAATATTCTGTAATATGTGAACCCCACATTGTAATATTTACAGAGAAATAAACGTTTCAGTTTCAGTTAGAAACTGGAACTTGAGGTTTCGGTTCTCGACACTTAGCGTGCCGCCGCCAGTGGTCCTGGAGCGTGCCGCCGCCAGTGGTCCTGGAGCGTGCCGCCGCCAGTGGTCCTGGAGCGTGCCGCCGCCAGTGGTCCTGGAGTGTGCCGCCGCCAGTGGTCCTGGAGTGTGCCGCCGCCAGTGGTCCTGGAGTGTGCCGCCGCCAGTGGTCCTGGAGCGTGCCGCCGCCAGTGGTCCTGGAGCGTGCCGCCGCCAGTGGTCCTGGAGTGTGCCGCCGCCAGTGGTCCTGGAGCGTGCCGCCGCCAGTGGTCCTGGAGTGTGCCGCCGCCAGTGGTCCTGGAGTGTGCCGCCGCCAGTGGTCCTGGAGTGTGCCGCCGCCAGTGGTCCTGGTAGCGTGCCGCCGCCAGTGGTCCTGGAGTGTTTCCGCCGCCAGTGGTCCGGGAGCGTGGGCCCCCGCCAGTGGTCCGGGAGCGTGCCGCCGCCAGTGGGTCTGGAGCGTGCCGCCGCCAGTGGTCCTGGAGCGTGCCGCCGCCAGTGGTCCTGGAGCGTGCCGCCCGCCAGTGGTCCGGGAGCGTGCCGCCGCCAGTGGTCCGGGAGCGTGCCGCCGCCAGTGGTCCTGGAGCGTGCCGCCGCCAGTGGTCGGGAGCGTGCCGCCGCCAGTGGTCCGGGAGCGTGCCGCCGCAGTGGTCCGGGAGCGTGCCGCCGCCAGTGGTCCGGGAGCGTGCCGCCGCCAGTGGTCCGGGAGCGTGCCGCCGCCAGTGGTCCTGGAGCGTGCGCCGCCAGTGGTCCGGGAGCGTGCCGCCGCCAGTGGTCCGGGAGCGTGCCGCCGCCAGTGGTCCGGGAGCGTGCCGCCGCCAGTGGTCCGGGAGCGTGCCGCCGCCATGTGGTCCTGGAGCGTGCCGCCGCCAGTGGTCCTGGAGCGTGCCGCCGCCAGTGGTCCTGGAGCGTGCCGCCGCCAGTGGTCCTGGAGCGTGCCGCCGCCAGTGGTCCGGGAGCGTGCCGCCGCCAGTGGTCCGGGAGCGTGCCGCCGCCAGTGGTCCTGGAGCGTGCCGCCGCCAGTGGTCCGGGAGCGTGCCGCCGCCAGTGGTCCTGGAGCGTGCCGCCGCCAGTGGTCCTTTGGGGCGTGCCGCCGCAGTGGTCCTGGAGCGTTTCCGCCGCCAGTGGTCCTGGAGCGTGCCGCCGCCAGTTTGGTCCCGGGAGCGTGCCGCCGCCAGTGGTCCGGGAGCGTGCCGCCGCCAGTGGTCCTGGAGCGTGCCGCCGCCAGTGGTCCGGGATGTGCCTTAATGTTATCAAGATTTTATTTGTTTATGGTTCAGTTGTGCATCGTTAGATCTATGGTATTGTGGATTGTTCGAGCCACGGTATTGAGTTGTGAATTGTTTGATCCACTCTATTGCTAATTGTAAATTGTTCGAGGGACGATATTGTGGGTTTTTTTTGTTAGAGGCAGAGTTTTGTGAGTTATATTTAAGTGTTGTGTTCATTGCTTACAGGGTTGTTGTATGGTGGAGTTGAAGGTAGCAGCGCTGGCCGCTGCATCCCTCCGGCGGCCCTGCCCCACGGCAGGGTATCCCTGGGCAGGGGCGGTGTTGTAGCCTCCTACAGCTGTAACAACGCCTACACACTTCATGGGACGCCCATCGCCGTCTGCGTGGGCAGCAAATGGTCTTCCTCCACCCCCATCTGTGTCCCCGACGGTAAGATATTTTCTGACACTGTTAAACAAGTCTGAGTAAACCTGTTTGTGGGGCTTGTCTTCTATCTTGTTTTTTCTCAATGTATGTGATTCCGAGGGTCGGAAAACATCATAATACTCAGAGGTGACACTTCTCAACCGCTTAGATATGGGTTAATAGAACTCAAAACTGGCTAGTTTTAGGGCCTTCCGCCCTCACAAGGGTTATTGAAGGTCAGGACGAACACGGGATACAACACTCGTTCAGAAGTTCTCGTAGAGCAGAGGAAAGACGTCAAGATGTGTGGAACACAGTACCTTCAGGTGGAATGCCTTGAAGCTGGGGAATGGTTCTTAATAAATGAAATATGATAAATTTTACCCTTCCCTGGATAAAACTTAATTGTCTCACATTTCCCAGGTGTTGTTTGAAGGAGCTCTGTGGGTTTAGCGCTTTCCTGTGAAAACAATAACAACATCAGAAGAACTTAATGAGGAAACAAACGTACTGATAGTGTAGAATAAACTCCAAAAAGAATGTGGTACTATTGTAGATCATTGTGTTAGCAAGACTCTTCGACCTTCTTACCAGTCAATAAGAGAACTATTCTCTACACAGTTAGGCATCTTTAAGAGTTAACTAGAAAATTTTATGAGTTGACTTATTAACTGGGAGATAGCTATGTGGGTTGGCCTGCGACAGCTAGGCTAGGATCAGCTGGGTGACTGTATGGGTCTGCGGCAGCTGGTCTACACTTGACTGGGAGATAGCTATATGGGTCTGCGGCAGCTGGTCTACACTCGACTGGGAGATAGCTATATGGGTCTGCGGCAGCTGGTCTACACTCGACTGGGAGATAGCTATATGGGTCTGCGGCAGCTGGTGTATGAGAATAGTTGCAGCACATAACGTGGACTCGTCAGTTGAAGAGGTCGCGTGACCTGTGTTGACTGCTTCTCTGGCATATTCAAGTTTATTATTATTATTATTATTATTATTATTATTATTATTATTTCACTTCATGAGATTCAAGTTACAAAATGCGAGAGGTTGATTTGCGGCAGGTGATAGTCTGGGCCTACCTAATATGGATCAGTAGGCCTACCAGGGTGCTCCTTGTTTTTGTGTGTTTACATATTTGTCTCGTGTATAAGGGAAGAAATAGGCCAGTAGGCCTATTTCTCCAGACACAGGCACGCGAATTGCTTAATTAAATGTAGAATTTGCATAAATTACCCGGCCAAGAAAGGGTCAAGTGACGCCCAAGATCACACTGAAGTGTATATGATGGCCGGAGGGGGGGGGGACGTGTAGTAAAGACCCCCCCTACCTCAGTGTGTATTCACCCAACTGTGTTTGCTGGGTTCGAGACGCCGCTCCTTCTACAACGTTTATTCTTAGATGCCATGAAGATATAGACTTGTGATGAACGGTTTGAAAAACCGACAAGTTGAAGATTGAGACACTTATGCAGCATATGCTGCATAAGTGTCTCAATCTTCAAGATATAGACTTGTTGCCACGAAGCGTCATCTGATCACTACGTCTTAGACTGACCTGACAACTTCTTGTGACCACGAGGCCAGTGATCTCCTTCAAGACTAAGAGACTCAAGCTTCATCTCCTCACACAAGCAACCCGCATGCAGGAGAATGAAACATATGACGACGTTTCGGTCTGACTTAGACCATTAGCTGTGTGCAAAAATAACTCGCACATAGGAGATAGAAAAGCTTATGACGACTTTGGTGTGACTTGTTAATGGTCCGAGTCGGACCGAAACGTGTTCATAACTTTGACTTCCTGTGGGAGAGTTATTTGTGTATTGTTCCAGTCACAGTATTGTACGTTTTTGTTCATCTCTTCAGTGTTTTCCTTCATGGTAACTTGAGAAATGCAATTATTATTATTATTATTGGTGGTAGTAGTTGTAGTAGTAATACCCTGTTGTCATACCCGAAGTGTCTCCCTGACAAGTGGTGGTCAGGTAGACACTTCAGGACTCCCTGATAGGAGGTGGTCAGGGAGACACTTCAAGACTCCCTAATACGAGGTGACACTTCAGGACTCCCTAATACGAGGTGACACTTCAGGACTCCCCGATAGGTGGTCAGTGCCTCGGTCTTGATAGGTGGTGGTCAGTGCTTCGGTCTTGATAGATGGTGGTCAGTACTTCAGCCTTGATAGGAGGTGGTCAGTGCCTCGATCTTGATAGGTGATGGTCAGTGCTTCGGTCTTGATAGGTGGTCAGTGCCTCGGTCTTGATAGGTGGTGGTCAGTGCCTCGGTCTTGATAGATGGTGGTCAGTACTTCAGCCTTGATAGGAGGTGGTCAGTACTTCAGCCTTGATAGGAGGTGGTCAGTACTTCAGCCTTGATAGGAGGTGGTCAGTACTTCAGCCTTGATAGGTGGTGGTCAGTACTTCAGCCTTGATAGGTGGTGGTCAGTACTTCAGCCTTGGTAGGTGGCGGTCAGTGTCTCAGCCTTGATAGGTGGTGGTCAGTGTCTCAGCCTTGATAGGAAGTGGTCACTGCCTCAGCCTTGATAGGTGGTGGTCAGTGTCTCAGCCTTGATAGGAAGTGGTCACTGCCTCAGCCTTGATAGGAGGTGGTCAGTACTTCAGCCTTGATAGGTGGTGGTCAGTGCGTTAGCGATGATAGGAGGTGGTCAGTCCCTCAGCATGTATGCTTGCAGACCAGTTGGTCGACCAATCTGTACGATGTGATCTTCTCTCCCTCACTTAACCTCAATTTAACTTTTTTTCAAGAGTAATAACCTCATTGTAAGTTAAAATTATTCAGCTGTTAACAGTCATCTTGACAACTCATCTACGTGGCAGTGTAAAAAGACATAAAATTCATTCATAGACGCTGTTAAGACTTGAAGGGTTGACCTCGTTAATGTTGATTACTCTGAACACTGGCGAACTGCTGAGAGGTTTTCTTTACTGTGATAAACACTGCCCCCCCCCCTCTCTCTCTCTCCCCTTGTCAAATATTCACGAGGATATAACCTAAGACTCTTTGTCCTCTTAAAGTTTACTGAAGACAGTCTTATTGTGGCGGCGAGATATTCAGTATCAGGATTCCTGTCAACCTTTGTATCCATATGAGTAGAAAAAAATGGCTTAGAAGCTAGGGCATTCAATGTGTTAGCTAGGGATTAGCTAAGAATTACGTGAATTCGGTAAAATTGAGTGTGGCGTGTTTAAGGCACTCCTGGGAACCTCCGTGACACAAGAAAAGTGACTCGCGAAATCGTAATATGACGATTGTAAACAAACCACAGTGCGGGTGGGGTTTGAACTCAGGGCAAGTGAGTCGTAAAACACCAGGTTAGTAAACAACCGGTTAGTAAACAACAGGTTAGTAAACAACAGGTTAGTAAACAATAGGTTAGTAAAGCTTTTCAGAATCACTCGGGATTCATCTTCAGGGTCAGGCTGCACAACACATCGTGAAGGAACACGATTGAAACGATAATGAAGGAAGACATGAACAGTATTGTAGCAGTAATAAAGTGTCAGGATCTACTGCTGAGAGGTGCGACCCTGGCATCGGCTTCAGTGGTCTTCACTCGTCGTCTTCCCCCATGAAGGATCACCAGCCCTTCGGGAAAACTTGGCAAACCATTTTCCAAATTCCTGAAAAGTGATTTCATTTTTAATTTCCACGAGAATGGTGAACTTTTGACTGACATACGCACGCACGTACACCCTGTTGTGTGTTTATTATTGAAAGTTAAGACACATGTGCAACATCTGGATATCTTTATTGTAGACGTTTCGCCATCCAGTGGCTTTATCAATACAGATTCTAGGACATAATAAGAAGACAGTAGAACTATATACAAAAGATGAGGTAATCAGTCCCTCAGCCTTGGAGTAAGTGTTCACAGCATCGTCGTGGAGGAGAATCTGGAGCAAAGGCAAGAAGACTGGCGGTTATATAGGCCAGTTAAAAGTTTCTAGGTATATCAAAGGTTTGTGGTCCATTTCTAAAATGAATTCTTTTCCCAGCAAATAAAATTTAAGTTTGGAGATACCCCACACAAGGGCCAAACGTTCCTTTTCTATGGGGGAGTATCTCCTTTCTGCGGGAAGGAGTTTCCGGCTTAGGAAGCATACAGGGAAGGGAGTACCATCATGGTATTGTAGTAACACCGCACCTAAGCCAGTATTGGAGGCATCAGTTCTTAAACAAAATGTTTTATTAATATCTGGAATCTTAAGTATAGGGTCTTTCGAAAAGATACTTTTAATCTCATTAAACTTTTCCTGAGCTGCGTCGGAAAGTTCAAGAGGTTCCTTCGCAGACTTTTTAAGGAAGTCGGATAAGATGCCTGTAAGATCAGTAAGGTTCGGGATAAACCGTGCATAAAAATTTACAGAACCAAGAAAGCTACGCATGAGCTTCTTGGTTTTGGGGAATTTAATTCTAATAAAGCTTTGATCTTACTGGGGAGAGGCTGCAGAGAGTTATTAGAAAGTATCAGTCCAAGATATCTAATCTTGTTATACCCAAGGAAGCATTTCTTCGGCTTGGCAGTGAGGCCATGTGAGCGTAACCTACACAAAACTGATGTTAATGTTTGGATATGTTCGCCCCATGTGGATGTTATTACGTAAATGTTATCAAAATAAACTGAAACATTTGGCATATTACCCAAGACCTTTTTCATCAGTCTCACGTAGGTAGCACAGGCAGTTACCAAACCGAAGGGCATAGTTCTATATTGCATCAGTCCTTGGTGTGTAGGAAAAGCGGTGTACTGCTTAGAAGAAGGATCTAACATTACTTGATGATATGCCTGTGCAATATCAATCTCTGAAAAGAAGGAAGCGTCATAAAATTTGTGTAGATCGCTATCTATTAAGGGCATAGGCTCAGCATCCCACCGAGTTATAGCATTAAGGCCTCTGAAGTCAATAGCAAGTCTATATGAATTATCCTCCTTCTTAACCATGATTACTGGTGAGCAATATGCAGATACTGAAGGTTCAATGATCTTTAGTTTTAATA